AGGCCAGCATGGTCTACAGAGTAAGTTCCAGTTACAGTCAGGGTTACAAAGAGAAACCCTGTCTCAAAAACAAAACAAAATGAAACAAAACAAAATAAGATTAAAGACCTCAATTCATATAAGTATGCTTCCAGCTCTAAGTTCACAGGGCAAACTGAGCCCTAAAATAGGTATCTAAAAATCTCACCAATGAGGGTAGGACTGCAGCTCAGATTGTAGACTGCTTGGCTTAACATACATGAAACTCTAGGATCAATGAACATATCAACTGCCATTGGTGGCACACGCCTGTAATCAGTCCTTGGAAGGTGGAGGCAGGAATGTTCAAGGTCACCATCAGCTACGTGAGAGACTCTAAGCAGTCTGGTATACATGAGGTCTTGTCTCAAAAACTAAAGAAATAATAATTTTTTAAAAATATAAGGGAGCTGGAAAGGGCTTAGTGGCTAAAAGCTGCTCTTTCCGAGGACTGGAGTGGTTCCAGGACCCACATCAGGCTGCTCCTAGCAACCTGTAACTCCAGCTCCAGAGAATCCAATGCCCTCTTCTGGATTTCTCAGGTATATGCACAAACACACAAACAAATAATAAAATAAGTCCCTTTTTAAGTTAAAATGCACTATACTGAACCCTTGGCAAATGAGTAAGATCATATTGAGGGAAGTAATCCAGACCTAGAAAGACAAACGTCACCTAATAATTCTATTTGTGGTTCCTACTTCCAAGTTTTCAGATGTGAATATAAACTGGAATAAATGTGGAAACCATGAAATTATAAAGGGACCATAGGGCAGGGAAGAGCAACAGAGAGAGAAATTGCAAGGTACAAGGAAGTGACAGATGGGGGAAAACGACTGTCACTGAGATACTAATTAAGGAGGAAAGGGGGAGTAAATACGAAGGAAAGAGGGAGGAGCTAAAGTAATAGTAAGAACTGCCTGAAAGTCATAAGCACATTATCTATCAAGCTAAAATTACATATAAGAATATCTAAGTATGTATATACATATGCACATATAATTTAAATGAAATCCTCCCATATGGGCTGACAATACTCCCATGAGCTCTAGACAAAAACTTCTAACATCAGATGTGAGAAGCCCTGATTTGAGTTGCTGATCCAAGCTGTCCGAGACTCCCAAAACAGACAGCTCTTTCCCAATGTCCTTGATTGCCTCCCAGAGGTGCAAGTTTCGTCCTGTTGCTAAAGAAACCATGCTCTTCAGACATTGCACCCAGAGGATCTGAGCTGGATCAGACCCGATGCCTCCTTCCTGAAGACTAGCCTTACTATCAGAAGGCACCTTCTAAGGAAGGGAAGCAACCAACAGTCCTACCCAGCTATAACCTATGTCCCACAAACATGGCCAGCATGGTACAATAACCCTAAGGGTGCAGTAGTGGAATGCATACCTAGTAGTGGCCAACAGCTCTCTAGTCAGACTTAAGACCAGCTCAATAGGCAAGAAATAACTCCTGGTACTGGAAACCTAGCCAACACCTAGGGCTAGTGAAGTCATGGATCTTGGAGGAGAAACCTACAACCATCACTTTACTACAGCAGCATAATCCCTAATTATAGCCTAAATATTTCTCCTCGTACCATAGTAAGTGTACTTCTCACTCCTCATCAAAGAAACTTCTATTTGCAACAGAAACTATTACAGAAAACCACAACTGATCAAAATTCAGAGTTGTAAAGGCCAGTCCCAACCAGTACATCTGCATCATAAACCGTTCACCTAAGACTCAGGGATCATTGCAGAAGAGCCAAAGGAAAGATTTTAAGAGCCAAGGGAACAGGAAGTTTTCTGTGAACCTGTGTCTCCTAGAAACATCAGAGACTACACCCATGAAGTCTTAGCAACATGTCTGCCTAAATAAGACCTGTGAAAACACCAATGGACATGCTAACATAGTAGGAGGGGGCTTGAAGGGGTCAAAGGACTGCAAGCAACTAAAGAATACTGGAGAGGGATAAATCATCTTCTACAGGAATAGTCCCCTAACTGGTTCTCCAATACCAAGCCTGAGATCAGATACATACAGGAACATTATACAGACTGAGCAGGTTGTACATGTATATTTAAGAATATATACACACACACGCACGCACACACACACATTTATGTATATGTAACAACTAAAGGAAAGAGGACATAAATTTAAGAGACTAAGGGAGGTGCATAGGAGGAGTTTAAAGGAGTAAGGGGAAGAGGGAAAATTGTGTAATTATAATTTTTAAAATTATTACAAAATAATTAAATACTTCACCATTGAAATATACCACTGCCAGGCATGATGGTACATGGCTCTAATACCAGTATTGGGAGATGAGGCAGGAGGATTTCTACAAGGCTGAGCCCAATCTGGGCTACCTAGAAAAAGCGAGGTTTCAACACTCCCACAAGAAAACAAAAGTACTGTTACTTTCTAACTGTTATTTAAACAAGAAATTATAGTTTAATGGGATGCTAATAACTATAAGGAAAGATGGCAAGATGATTCAGCTGTTAAGAGTTCTTGGTGCTCTTCCACAGGACCCAAGTTCAGTTCCGAGTACCCACTTCATTTAGCCCATGACCATCTATTTAGCTCTGAAGGATCAGACACCCTTTTCTGGCCTCTGCGCTCCCTCGCGCTCTCTCTCTCTCTCTCTCTCTCTCTCTCTCTCTCTCTCCCTCTCTTTCTCCCCCCCTCTCTCTCCCTCTCTCTCTCTCTCCCTCTCTCTTCCTCCCCCCCCTCTTAAATGAGAGTAAAATACAGGAGGTTCCATATGGAGAGCAAGGAGGAGATAAATGCACAAGATGGGAGGGGGCAGAGGGATAGCAGGGTACAAGAGATCAAGTGATCTGATAGGGAAAATGGGAAGGAGGTGTGCTCTTTAGGGAGGAGGGGGAAAAGTGAGCACACAAGGAAGAGCAAGGTGGGTAGGACTATCTGCAGAAGCCACAAAGAATCACTATTAACTATACACACACAAACCAAAACACAACCATACATACTTGTAATGAACTTTTCTCATGTGGACTGATGGTACTCCTCTAATAACCTATCAGACCACCTAATAAAAACCTCAATACCAGGCAAGAGAACCCCTCTCTTTTGTGTTGTTGGTCAAGGTTGTTGAAGAGACTTCCAAAACGTAAATCCACTGCTGTTTCCCTTGGTTGCTTCCCAGAGGTAGAAGGTACGTGCCTATTGCTGAAGATACCATGTACTTCAGAAAGAGAACCCAGAGGATCCTGAGATGGAACTGACCTGAATGCCCCTTCCCTGAGGACTAGCTCTGATGGTATTAGAAGGTACCATGTAAGTTTCCAGAGGAGAGGGGCAACTAACAGTCTCATCTATGAGGCCTGGGAACCACTTCAAGGACCAACATGGCATAAACTTCAGGGTCCAACAGTAGCACACAGTAGCTCCTTAATTGGACTTAATACCTGCTCAACAAGAGAGATCCCATGTCTAGTACTAGAAACCTAAGTACTCAGTGCTAGTGAAGTCATGGTTACTGGAGAAGAAACTGTGACTACTAATTTACTAAATCCCTAACAACAATCCATTTGTCCTTATACCACAGGTAAGTACACTCCTCCCTCATCAAGGAGACTTCTCTTTGCAACAACTGGAGACCACTACACAAAACCATTGCCAATCAAAACGCAGACTTGTGGACTCTAGTCCCAATAAATACATCTACAAAACTGAACCAGGATAATACCAAGGAGCATGCCAAACTAGACAGAGAAGTCCACAAGGCCTCAAGCCTACACAAAGAACTATAGGCAAGTGAAGAAAGGTACGTAGTGGAGGGGGGGCCTTCCTCAGGGAACAGCACACTAATCAGTTGTCCAGTGCCAAACGGTCAGCCCTGAAAACATACACACAAGTAACACTTAAGGACTAAATAGGTTATCTTTTAGGGATATATATGTATATATGCAATATGCACATATGTATCTACATATGTATGTATATACCCAATTGGTGAAAAAAATAAGTTATGATTTTGAAGGCGATTGGGGAGGGTTTGGAGAGAGTAAAGGGAAGGGAGAAATATAATTATATTACGATCTCAAAAAAAAGTTAAAGTCTTTGCCCAGAAGTGCCTTCCATGATATATACACTAAGTATACAACAAATTAACAGCTCACTCTCCAAATAATAGTTCAGAGTAACTTGTACTGATATAACACCTTCTATTGACATAAAAGAACAGTCGCACGCAAACTGCTCCGTCCCCAAGGATTCTCCTTAAAAGCCAAAATGTACTGTTGCTATACCTTCAAGTGCATACAGTGACAGTACTAGCACACAACAAAGTAAGGACATGTCTATGTATGAAACATCCCAGATCTTTTTACAATACAGGATACTGCATTCCTAGCCCATACGACTACTGCTGTCACAAATAATAATGTCTAGGATTTCATTACATACAAAGGCACACTACATGTGATGCCACACACTTGCAATTCCAGCACTCCTCGGGAGGCAGAGGCAAGAAGATGGTAGTAAGGTTTGAGGCCAGCCTGGACTTTATAGCAAGACCTTCTCTCTCAAAAAAATAAAAAATAAAAAACAAACAAAAAAAATCAAAATATACCACATGACAGGAAGCTATACAAAACCCAGAAATAGGAATGACTGATTTGCCATCCCCTACTATGGATCATGAGACTCTGTCTCATTCCTGTCAAAGGCAAGTCTCCAGTCTTTCTAAGTGCGTCAAGTTCCAACAGTAAGGTAATAAGAACCTTCAATCAAAAGTTTTCATGCTAAGCTAAATATGTTCTTGTAGTTGTCAACACTCTATACTCTGGCTGCAAGACTTCAAAGACTTTAAAGTACTGGAACAATTAAAATCTGGTCAGTTTTCATAGCGAGAGCTCACAAAAGCCCCCCAAGCCTTGACCTTGGGTGTAACTTCCTAGGACTGTGAAGGTGAATCCTATGCTACTGCCCTGTGAGCACTGGTGCTAACTAATGTTTCTTACCTTGTCTTTCTCGTGAGGAAGCAGTGACACAGGAGGTAAACACGAGAGCGACTCACAGCCCTCTTTCCCTTCAGCACTGGTTGGCTTAGTGTTGAGGCGGTAGAGAGGTCCATCTTTAAGGAGTCGTCCATGACCAACGGCACGCTTGATCGCCAATCGTAGCTGCTGGTGAAACCCAGAGGCAGCACTGCCTCCATAGGCAGCAGACACATCCTTCTGGCTTTTCAGAAAGCGTTCAATACTTTTCAAAGTTGAGCCACCAGACTCCGCCAAGCCCTCGAACGCCCGTTTGAGTAATTTATTCCAATCCACACTTGGTTTATTATCCAATTTTCCATGGTTTCGAGGTTTAGGAAGTGCTATTCGCCCAGGATTATCAGGATCTTTGTAGGAATTGAGACCTTTGTTTGAGACTTTTAAAATCGTCCCATCTTTAACACTCAGCTCCAACTGCTCTAGAACAGTCTTCCGGTCCAAGCCGTGGGATGAAGACACTGCATTGCATATCCTTTCCTCTGAAGGTCGTTGTTTCTGCTTCTTGACTTTTTTGATGGCCTCCAAAATCCACTCCGTGTACAGCGGGTTAGCGAGTTTTACCATGGTGAAGGATTCTGTATATCCATAGAGTCGTTATCCCTTATCCTGATGCTGAGTAAGTCTTACACCATGGAAAACAGGATTCGCGGAGGATGGGAACCAGTTAACCATAGCATACAAGATTTCTGGCCTGAGTCTTCCCTCCTTTCACAAAATTGAATTACAGCCTACTTTTACCTCAGAAATCAAAACGACTGGTTTGTCTGACGTATCTTTGAACTCCTCACTAGCACCACGCATGGGTGTCTACACCACACACACTCTTGGGTTCCACACATCTCATTCCCAGCTTCCAGCAGAAAATGACCATCTTAAGCCTGAAAAAGAAATTAAAATGATATCAGTTTTCCACCAAGGCCTTCCTTGTACATCAGTTATCCACTGAGACATCCTGGTCATTTCTTAAAGCAGTGTGTAACAACGCTCCTAAGAGTTTAAATATAGTACTACCAATATTCCAAAACAATCAAGAAATCACTGGATTAAAAAAAGAAGGGAAAAAAAGCTGAGTAGTTAAAGTAAAAATGAGAAAATAAAGACGTCCATGCATGGCCTCAGCTATCACTAACCGGCGCTAGTGTGTTCTCCGCAATCTGCTCACCAGGCTATGGGTTCAACTCGTCCTCCACATTTTTCCCCAAGAAACTATTCAGCACTTCAACAAGTATCTGGATTAGCAGAAAGAATCCTGCAATGAAAGCAAAAGTGAATCGTCTTTCAAAGTTCCAGTGGATAGAAACCAGTCAGTCAGATCTGCAGAAAACCACTGCCAATCTGACCAGTTCCTATAGGACAGGCAATGAAGATGCGTCACACACCACGGTAAGGATACTAATGCAAACGAAGACACCTTAGTGTCAAAGGGCTTAAGGAATTTTGAAATAATCCAATTTCATTTAAATTTTCACCAATACCCATATACTGAAGGAAATAACAACTGTCAAAGTACTTACAAACATTGCACAGATAAACTAGAAGAAAGTTCTAGAATCATTTGAAGCAAATGCAGATACACATAAAATCGTGCACTACAGAAACCAAGTATTGGCTATGATCTGATAAAAATTTAACTTTGAGATTGCTATCTCAGAGTGAACATTAGACAATAAAACAAAAACAAATAGACTACTACTTCTGAACTTTTTCCTCCAAAACTAAGTGTAACTTTGAACTTCTCCTGTATAATCCAAACACGGCTAAAAGGGGTGGGGGCATTCCTCCAGCGAGTATTTCTAAGTGTGCAGGCAAACTGATACATGTGGGAAGAAACAGTACTATAACTCTAATAAGAAAACAAGAGGGGCCACTAAACATTAGCACCTGGGGCCAAAATGTATTTCAAAATGAGCTAACTAAATATAGTCGCCCCCAGCGGAGTCCTTCATTTTAGTGGAGGTCTTAAGAGGACAAATATCAGAATTATTACTCAAGGGAAGTTTTTTTATATAGACGTTAACTTTAAAGTAACGAGAACGGAGACCTAAGAAGTTGGGAACACCCTATAAGGCTGAGTTTTCAGGTGGAAGAATGAATGACAGCCACTCATTGTCTTTCCGGCCGGAAGTTTCCCCAATCTCCCAAGTCTGCAGAAACCAACGCTCTGAGGATCTGAACCCTAACTCTCAGAAAGTATACTAGCGGCTAGAAAGAAAGACCAACCGGCTCCGAAAGCCCTTCCCGCTCTGTCTCCCAAGCCAAAACACATCTTCGCGCCCTCGATTTAAAGCCCAGGGAACTTTAAAAAACTTGAAGCGGCAGAGTCCCGCAGTTTGCCAACGGACCGCTCCGCCGTTCCCATTCTATGGAAACACAGCCCAAAGAGTAAGTTAACAATGAAATCACGTGGAGTTAGGAGCACCGTAAGCTCTAGCCCCAGCTCCTCCAAACTCTTAGCTCCAAGGGGCCGGCTCAGAAGAGCAGCGAGGGGACACCGGCTGTGACGGAGCCTGACAGGTCGGGCAGGTCCGGCCCAAAGTCGCAGAGCTCTTGACAGGCAAACCCGCCGCCACCCGTCCCGGCTGGGGGCTGACAGTCCGACAGACACAACACCACACGTGCTGCCTGCTCCACACCACAGCACCCACCAGGCTGTCACCCCGCACCGCTCAACCCCGCTCGGATCTCCGCGCACTCCGCACAGCCCGGAGTGCGCGCCCGGCGCCGGGAGCGGCGGGCGGACGGCGGGCGCGCCCCCGAGGGAGAGCGGGCGAGCCCGCACAGCAGCCCCAGGCTCCGCGGCCTGGCTGCTCGGCGCCCGTGAGCCCCGGCTCCCGG